TACTCCACTCAAAAAACTAGGCCCCATGGTGAAAAACGAGGCAAGACCCCAAGATGACAAACGGGGCAAGATGTCTTTTTAAAAGAAGCGCTTTTATTTTAGCTGGCCCAGCGACACAGTGCAAATGGAATTTGCAAAGCTGTGCAACTGAGTTAGAGATTTGACTGATTTTTACAGTTCATTTATGATTAGCTCATTGATCATTAAGTACATAGTGATGAGAAACAGAAATAAGGTGGGCCTTTGTTCCCCTTTGCTTGAGGTCAGAGGCATTTCATAGTGGGTGGTTAGCCAATTCATAGCCCTTGGTCTGCCAATTCCAGGAACATTTGTCTCTCATCAAGGGAACAATGGTTGACACAGCATCATTTATCTCTTACAAGGGGAACAAAAGTTGACATAGCACACAGGTCACTAAGGTGGAGGGGATGATACATTACAGAACAGCAGAAAGAAAGCGGTCAGTTAATTTATAACTATGTGGTTGTTGCTTGGTTACTAGGGTAATGAGCTCAGTACAGAATGACAATATTACTAAAACTATCTTTTTAAGTAACTATTTTTGTTAATTATCTTTTAATCAATTATTTTAATTTTTAGCATCTTAGTATAACACTTGTACTGCTCTTCAGTCTGGACTCGGGTCCAGACATTTAGTGGTCCTGGGAAGAGGTGCCCAGAATCCTTTCTGCCTCCCTGGGTGGCCAACAAAAGGCATCTCTGCCAGCAGCCTCAAGAACCCTCGTACCAGGATGAGGAAGCTCGGATTTGAGGTCCAAGTGAATCACCGATGGTAGACCAAGGAAGCCCAAGAGCCTGCCAGGAAGGGCCGGGTGGTGGCCGATGGCAGTTCCTACGAGCCCTGTCCTCAAGTAAATCGGCAGGCACCGTTGCTTTCTGTGGGGTAGCACAGCTGGGCACAAGAGGCCCCTGTTACTGAACTTCCTCACAGTGCCGCCTGCAAGCCAAAAATGGCACAGTAAGGAGGGGTTGGGCAGGCAGGGCAGCACTAGAGGGGACTGGGGCAGTGCTCGGGAAATGAGTGGCAGGGAGGGGCCTGCAGCCCACGCAGGTAAGGTGGGGATCAGAGGATGACAGGCAGGTGGACAGGAAGAGCCCAGGCCTGCAAAACAAATCCAGCTGGTGACTCACCTCGACCTTGGGCAAAGTCAGTTCCTCCACTCCTGTTACACGGCAGCTGCCTCTTCCTGGTGACTCTGGGGACAGTCAGGCAGTGTTTACCCCAGTGAGGAGGCAGGGCACAACTGTGGGGTCTGAGTCGCCGGGTTCTGCCCTGAGTCCTGAGTGCTGTGGCTTGAAGCACTGTTTTGGATTTAAAGTTGGAGCCTTGTTCTGTGTGCCTTGTCTCCCACAAATAAAGCCAGCCTTGTGTGACCCTGGGACTTGTGTCTCTCTCTACCAGTCCTCCCTAGGGAGCCCTCCCTACCAGAGTGATGCCTTGAAGGGAAGAGAAAAAGATGCTGAGGTGGTGGCCCACGTGTCTGGGATGACAGCCTGTCTGAGATCCCCTAGTGACAGTCCACCCAAGACGTGGAGCAAATTCAGGGTAGCCAGTAGCATCGTCCAAAAGGACAATCACATTTTCAGCTTTTCCACTAACCTGAGGGCTTATTCCCAGCTTGGTTCTGGGGAAAGGGAGTTGAAGGCTGGGGATTTAGCTCAGCAGCATAAGCACCTGCCTTCCAAGCTTGTGGTCGTTAGTTCGATCCCCGGTACCAACAAAAAAAAAAAGGGAGTTGAAACAAAATCTGGATTTTGGTGATGGTGGTTTGTTGGTTTGTAACAGTCTCCACATGTAGCTCAGGTGGCCTTAAACTTAGCGATTTGTCTGCCTCAGCCTGCCAAGTGCTGGGATTAGGAGCATGCGTCACCACGGGCAGCAAAACAAAACCTGTTTGTGTGTTGGGTCAAAAGACCCTTCTCAGAACCACATTGTCACCCTGGTGGGGTGGACCCTCAGTCTGGCTTTAGCAGGTGCCACCTCTGCTGTCAGAGAGTCTCAGTGTAAGAAGGAAAGGTCCAGCTAAGTGTGGTGGCACATGCCTGTAATTCTAGCCTGGGGAGGCTGGGGCAGGAGGATTGCTGCAATTTCAAGGCCAGCCTGGGTCACCTAGAAAGACCCTGTCTCAAAAAAATAAAGCCAAAGGAAAAATGCACCAGGGCGGGGGACTGTGGCCCAGTTGAAATAGCTGCTTACTAGCAGGGAGTAACAGCCCAGGTGGCTTCCCTTCCATGGCGGTGGAGCGGCGGCAGCAGATCCTGAACCCATGGCCCATGGGGCAGGAGCTGCTGCTTGCAGTGATCCCTGAGGTGCAGGCTGAGGGTGGGCAGGTGACCACTCAGGGTAACCCAGAGCCCGTGTAGCCTAGGAGTTGGTGCCAGGTCCAAAGCCTTTCTGATGTCCTGGGTACTTCCCAAGCTGGACTGTGAGGCTGCAGGGCTGCAGAGTCCTGACCGCCACCCCCAGCAGGTCTTGCCCAGAAAGTCCCCGTGTGAGGCTTCCTGTTGCTGAATGACCCAAGCCTCTTTTGTTTTTCTTGGCTTTTTTTTTTGGTTTTTGTTTTGGAGATTTCATGCCTCCAGCTGGTCTGCCTGCTAGCTTAGCAGCTGCAGACTCTGCAGCCGGTGCTGCCAGCATTCCTGTTAGCTCTAACCCTGCGCGCACCTGCACCTCCTTTAAGCATGATTGATTGTCTCCATCAGGAGAGGGAAAGTGACTGGCTGCTGCCCTGCGAGTCCACGCAGCATAATGCAGGGCTTGGGTTCACTGTGTGACCTGCAGGAAGTCACTTCGCTTCCCAGGACCTCTGAATCCGCAGCTGAGCTGTGTGATGAATCCCTCATGTCGCAGCAAGGACCAGCACTTGGCCCATCTCTGCAGGGGCTGCTCCTGCAGCGGTGTGTGAGGCTCTGCCAAGGACCTGTGCCCTTGGGGAGTCCTCTGAGAAGCCTGCCATCAGGTGCACGTCTCCCTTGATGCTGTTGTTGTTGTTTTGAGACCGGGTCTCACTGTAATTCAGGCTAGCCTTGCCCACTATGTAGCCCCAGTTGGTCTTCAACTTGCACCGATCTTCCTGCCTCAGCCTCCCAAGTGCACCACCACAGCCCAGCTTTCTTATTATTAAAATAAATGTGTTGTGAAATGTATATAACAGGGGCACTTTATATGGGAATGTATATAACAGGGGCACTTTTTTAAGAATAAGAAAATGGCTAGATGTGGTGGCACATGCCTGTAATCCTAGCACTTGGGAGGCTGAGGCAGGAGGATCAGTGCAAGCTGAAGATCAGCCTGGGTTACATAGTAGGTTCAAGGGGAGCCTGAATGGCATAATGAGACCCTGTCTTTGAGAGAGACAGAGAGAGAGAGAGACAGAGAGAAGAAAATGGACATCCAGTACACAGCATCCGGCCAGAGAAACACAATGCAATGTAGTCTCTCTGTGTTCAGAGTGTCAGGCCATGCTGAGTGGTGTGGGTGGCATCTGACATGGCTGCTGCAGGGCTGCCGTGCTGCCAGCCCTTGCATCTTGCCTCCAGCAGTGATTCCGGATCGAATAGACCCTGCCCCATCCCTACCATGTGCCATATGAGGCTGCCTGCTTTTACAGTGTCCTGGTATCGATGGCCTCTGCTCACAGAGTTTTTGCTGATGGGACTTGCTGATGCCATGGGCTTCCATGCCTGCTGTTCCAGTGCCAGCTGCTGGCAGGACTCACGCAGGCTGGGTGCTCAGCCCTCGAGCAGATGGCCAGCAGAGGAGATCTAGACGGATAGCTCTGAGGGCAGCCCACCGGGTGACCTGGAACCAGATGGAGGCACAGGAGCCGTTGGCCTAGCCAGCAGCTGCCTGCAGAATTTGTGTTTTGTTTTGGTGGCACTGGAAATTGAACCCAGGGCCTTCTCACTGAGATACCCCCTAGCCTTTAGATACATGCTCAGCAAATGGTGTACCCCACAACCCAGCACCAGCACCTTAACTTGTTAAATGCCTTCTTGTAGTTACACATTTGTCTACACGGCTTCAACTTTTTTTTTCTCTTTCTTTACTTTTGTTTATTCATTTTTTTACTATAGTAAAACATAGTGACATAGAGTTTGCCATGATAAGCCATGTATGGTGGTGAATGCCTGTAATTCTAGGACTTGGGAGGCTGAGGCAGGAAGATTGCCCCAAGTTTGAGGCCAGCCTGGGCTACATAGTGAGTTTAAGGCCAGCCTAAACTGTACAGAAAAACCCTGTGTCAAAAAACTTTAAAAAAAATACCATATGAAGTGTCCAGCTTGATGTCATTAATTATGTTCACATCATTGTACAACCATCACCAGTGTGCTTCCAGAATTTTCCCATCACTCCAACTGAAATTCTGCACACATAGAAATAACACCATGGTAATGATGCGGTAAAGCCATTCCGCTGACTGTCTCTGTCACTTTGACGCTTCTGGTATCTCGACCAGGTGGAGTCAGGCAGTGTTCATCCTTCTGTGTTTGGCTTCTTACTCAGTGCAGTGTCTTCACTTTCTCTGGGGAACAGGAAGGGAATGGGTGAACTGAGGAAGCTGAGGACGGACACTGGTTGGCCGCTGGCCTTCACTGGCCCAGGGGTCTCTGCTCGGGAGTCAGCGGGGTTTCCCCGGCACCCTGAATGTCCTGTGGCAGAATGGGTTAACGTGCAGACCGAGTGATGGTCAGCATCTTGGAGAATGGCTGGGAGCCTGGCAGACAAGGAGCGGGAGCTTGAGCACAGACTCCTCTGGTTGAAAGAGGAGGACAGGAGGTGCGTGGGAGGAGCGACCCCAGATTCCCTCTGCTGGTGTGCCGGTGGTTGCACACACCCCTCTGAGGACCACCTGGCCCTCACCCGGATGGTGAGGACGGTGGCGGCAGAGGGACTGGATCTCTAGGCACAGCCAGCCCGCACCAGGCTGTCAGCTGGGGCTCTGAGCTTTGGTTGTTCCTCATTCCTCCCACCCCAGATTTCTGCATGAACCCCCAGACAGTGCTGCTCCTGCGGGTCATTGCTGCCTTCTGCTTCCTGGGCATCCTGTGTAGCCTCTCCGCATTCCTCCTGGATGTCTTCGGGCCCAAGCACCCAGCCCTGAAGATCACTCGCCGCTATGCCTTCGCCCACATCCTGACCGGTAAGTCTCCACTGCTTGTGTAAGAAAGGAGCTGCCTGGGTGGGGGTGCTGGAGCGTCTGCGGGAGTGTGAGCCTAATCTGTGAGCCCCTCACAGCACATCGGGCACGTCTGCAACCTGCCCAGTCCTTTGTAGTTGTCCTTGCCAGGCTCCCATCCTGCTGAGCCCTGTGGCAGAGGGGGAAGGAATGTTGTTGAGTTCAGCCAGGAATTTCACAGCTTTGCTAGGTGTCATTTGAAGCCCCCTGGAGCTCAGGTTTTGGACTGAGTGGGAAGGAAGCTGCCCTTCTTCCTGGGTGTGTGGTCCAGTTGTTCCCTGTGCCCCTCGTGCATGCCTGCACACCATCCTCTTCCCCCCACGGTAACCAGCCTGGTGTGTCAGTGTGACTTGTGATACCAGCTTCCTCCAGCTCCCAGACTGCAGGGCCTTATCTGTGCCTTAGGTACCCATTGACATCCAGGGCCCTTAATGTACCACCCCCATTTTTTTTTTTTTTAATGAGACTGAGGATTGAACCCCAGCCTTTACACTGAGGTAAGGCCCCAGTCCTTTTTTAGTTTGTATTTTGAGACAGCTTCTACTAAGTTACTAAGTTGCCTGGGCTGGATTTGAATTTGCAGTTCTCCTGGCTCAGGCTCCCACGGTGCTGGGATTACAGGCCTGCACCACCAGGGCCAGTTCCCATTGCACACCCTTAAGACAGAGAACACCGGGCTGGGGATTTAGCTCAGCGGCATGAGTACCTACCCGGCAAGCAGGCGGTCGTGAGTTCGATCCCTGGTACCGATAAAAATGAAAAAGACAAAAAAAAAAAAGACAAGAAAACACCTGTCTATCTCAGGGAGGTCAGGCAGCTGTCCCTACCTGGCCAGGCGGGACAGACAGAGGCCAGGCAGGTTCTCTGAGAATCTGGTGAGAAACTGATTGGTTCCTCAAGTGTCCCGGCTGCAGGGTGCCTACTAATCCCGTGTCCTGTCCCTCTGTCACCTAGTCCTGCAATGTGCCACGGTCATCGGCTTCTCTTACTGGGCTTCTGAACTCATCTTGGCCCTGCAGCAGCAGCATAAGAAGTACCATGGCTCCCAGGTCTATGTCACTTTTGCCGTCAGCTTCTACCTGGTAGCAGGTGCTGGTGGAGCCTCCATCCTGGCCACCGCAGCCAACCTCCTGCGCCACTACCCCACAGAGGAGGAAGAGCAGGCACTGGAGCTACTGTCCGAGATGGAGGAGAACGAGCCCTACCCAGCTGAATACGAGGTCATCAACCAGTTCCAGCCGCCCCCTGCCTACACGCCCTAGTGGAAGCCAGGGCTTCCTTGGGCGGCCCCCTCCCACCCAGGGGAGCGGCTCCCCCTGCAGTCCTCACCCTCCGGTAGGACCCAATCACCTTCATCAAACCCTCCCCAGGAGAGACTCTGCCTTAGGGTTGTCCCCAGTCCCTGCTCCTTTCTAGAAGCTGGGACTCAGATTTGACATAAAGCCCCTGCCTGCCACCCTCTGCTCCCTTCCTGCCCATGAGTCACTACCAACCAGGGATGGGCCATATCTTTGGGACCAGGACTTTGCGTGGGGAGCTGCTGAGTGTGGACAGTCCCAGAAAGAAGTGTCAGCAGTCGGTCGGTGTGTGTCTCACAGCTGTGGCCCTGCGCCCACCCCGCCTTCCCTCTGTGAGTGCCGCAGTCCCAGGCTGCCGGCTCCAGGGATTCTCTGCACTTTAATCTTGGCCTTCTCCCCACGAGTGTTCTAGTTTAGTGGGGAGCAGAGCAGTTGCTCGCCCCGCCCTGCCCTGGCTTCAGGTGGATGGTGCTGGGCAAGGAGAGCGAAGCTGGGCAGGAGACCAAGGCCTCCTGGTGCCTACATTGGACCAGCGTGAAGGGGACTCAGTCTCCCAGCCCCTTCGCCTTTTAAAATGTGAGCAGTTTTAAAAGGAAAAACAAAACCAAGCAATGGCAAGCATATTCTGTTTTTAAAATAGGTTGTTGTTTTTCAGAAGTGCGTCCCGTCCCTTGGGCTCTGCAATATTTGGGACCACAGTTCCTCCTGAGCCCGTGGTCCCCTCCCCCAGGTCCCCCATGCAGAACTCAGCCTCTCTCCCTACAGCTGTCTTTCCCCAGCTCCCCTGGCCCCTGTGGCTCCCCAGGGCCTCCCTGTGGAACCAGAGCCATGTGGTCCCCAGCGGCTGAGGACTGTGGCCTGGCTGGCCGGCCAGTGTGGTGCTCCTCAGACTGCAGCTCTGAGACGTAGCCTGCCTCAGCTCAGGATCGGGGGCCACAGCAGGGCAGGACCCTCCTCATCTACAGGAACTGCAGCCCACGGAGCCCCCGTGTGTCAGGGTCACACTACAGGCCCAGTGGTCCCTTGACTTCACCTGGGGGCCACAGCCTGCTGCATGCCTCTGTCCCCTCTCAAATGTCCTCTGGCCAGGCGTGTGCTCCTGGTTCCTTCCCGCCTGCCTGTCACTCTGGTTACCCCATCTGCTCTGGGTCTGGCTGAATTTTCTGGCCCAAGACCTGGGGCATAAAGTAAGCAAAACTCAAGAGATCTTCTGTGGATCCAGATGGCCAAATTGTCCTCGTCCAGTTCCTGGCCTGTCTGGAATCTGTCCAGTGTCAAGCTAAGGAGGAGGCCTCTTCCTGTGTCTCCCACCTGCAAGGGGGTAGGCGGTTTCTGCAGGAACGGAGAATGGCCGTCACCACTGCACTGTGGCTGGAAGGGGACTGGGGTGTCCCCATCCGCCTTGGGCTGGGTTGACCCAGGACATCTGTCCAGATGCCTGTGTGGAGACCATGTCGGCACATGAGCAAGTGGCTGCTGGAGTTCACCGCTTGATGCCAAAGTGCGCCCTGACGTGACCCCCACTCTTCCAGACCCTTGTCCTAGGCAGGAAAGGCTGCCGGATGGTATCTGAGCACAAAGCCAAGGAGCCGAACTATATCTTTCTGTGAAGTCTCGAGTCCGTCATTGGCATCCGGATGTCTGAGCAGGCACCCAGCAAGCATGCCAAAGGGAGCGGTCACTCACCAGGGCCCGCACACACCCCTGGGACCGTGCCATGTGATTCGGAACCCTCTTTTTACTAGGTCCCCACGCCTCCTGCCTTTCTTCCTCTCTCCCCCTGCCATCCTGACACCCATAGTTTGTCATATAAACCCCCTTGGTTGCGTTTTTCTTTTCTAGGAACAAAAAATTAAAAAGTAAAACAATGAAAAACTTGAAACTACAAATAAGAACTTTGGTGCCAGTGGCTGCCTGTCATTTTTCTGTCACAATTTTTCCAGTTTGGTTTGTGCATTTCCTCTGAGAGAAGCAGGAGACATCCATGGGAGAGCAGCCTGTGAACTCCAGACCCCAAGGCTTGCAGAAGAACCCCTCCCCTTTTTTGAAACCGTGGGAAATGATCCTGAGGTGAGGCTGAGAGGAGAAATGGTTCTGGGAGCCTCAGCCTGGGCAGAGCCGGGTTTCCATGGTTGCCCAGATCTCCATCCATTTGGCCCTGGTGCTGGCCCCAGGTGTACAGCACCCTAGAAAACTTGGGCCTCCTTGGAGGAACAGCCCATTTAGGCGGATTTCTCAGAGTACCCGTCTTGCTCTGGAGTTGGGAGTGTGCTCTCAACATTTCTTCACACCGCTCTGTGAAGGGCCTCTGGGTTAGGTACAAGGCAGCTCTGGGCCCTGTGAGAGAAATGGCAGCTGGCAGGCCCTGTGGGATTTTATGTCCTTAGTTCAGGAGATGATGGCCTCCTCTGCAGGAAGGCAGATGAAGTGTCCCCGGACACCTAGGACCAGTGCTGTGTCAGAGGGCTGGTGACCCGAGGGGTTTGCAAGGGCTTCTGGGAAGAGGCGGCTGGTGCCCAGCCTGATTTGGGGAGGAAGGGTTCCCAGCAAGGAATGGCACACTGCGGGCCTGGATGTGGTGAGAGGAGGAGACGACACCCACCTGATGCACTGAAGCAAGGGGACCCTGGGAAGGGACATGGGAAGGGAAGGGAAGGGGCCTGGCTGTCTTGACTGGTGGCCATGGTGGGCTGCTTGCTCCCAGGAAAGGCATCAGGACGGGGCAGTGGGGGACATGTGGGGCACGGTGCAAGGACCTGCGACTGGTGGAAGGGGAAGAGCAGTCGCAGCCAGGTGCTACATGGGGACTTGGACAGCACTGTCCCCACTGCTATCATGGGACATTTGGAAGGAGGCCGAGGCATGTGAAGGGGGGTGAGGAGGAGACACTGAGACACAGGAAGTGGCCCACTGGCCCTGGGGATGGCCAGGTCTCCCCGGGTGACCAGCATCTCACCCACAGCGGTCTACCCTCTGGGCCACTGCATTAAGGGGAATCAAAGTTCAGGATGTGGGGGACACAAAGGGACCAATAAACTCTGGCCCTTGTTTTCAAATGGCCTCTTGCCTGTCCCTGTGCATTTTTGGTGGGGTGGGGCCGTGTGTCAGAGAAAATGTCTGTTTTTGGACGAGTCTGCCTGGAGTGAAGGCTTGCTTTTAGGGACAGTGGCTTTTAAATCAGGATGTTCCTTGTTGTAGGATTTGAGGATGAGGTTTTTTCCTGGGGACGGGGTTTGCTGGTCCTGGTGCTGAAGGACTGTGGTGGACTGGCCTGCCCCAGCACCCCACCACATCCAGGGTTAGGGAATGAAGGGACCCTCGGGGACACCAGCACCCGTGTCTTGTGGTCCTAGGGATCTATGAGAGTGGAACCTTGGTGCAGAAGCTGAATCCTGTTCAGAAGGCTCCTGTCCTTATCCTTGGAGAAAATGGCAGCTGACCCTGTAAACAGCCATCTCTTCCTGGGCACGTGGACTGTGTAGCCAGGGCTCCCCTGTTCCACCTCTATTTTGGGAATCTCTCACCTGAATTCATAATGGCGCCACTGTTGAAGGAGAATTCCTTCTGGAATAATCTGGAGTTGGTGCATGGGTTTTAAAATTTTTTTTCAACTTTTTAAAAAGATATTGTCCCATTGTTTAGTACATGCTGACCTTGAGCTCACTGTGTAGCCAGCCTGGCCTCAAACTCATGGATCCTCCTGCCTCAGCCTCCTGAGTGCAAGATTACTGGTGTTTGCCACCACACCCAACAGGGTTTGTTTTTATAAGGGGAAATGTGTGCCTTATTTTTTCTCACCTCTGCCTCAGGATCTCTGAGTGAAGGGAAACTGGCACATAGGCGTGACCAGTGACCACTTTACACCCTCAGGCGGGAGTCATTCTTGTTTCTGTATCCACTGGGCCCCTGAATGTCAACTGGGCCCAGGACCATGGTTTTCATGCACTATTCATTCACGTATACTGCCCTTTAGAGCTTTCCGCAGCAGCTTCCTGGAAGAGACCCCGTGGGGCAGAGCCTGGCAGGCAGGGAACCTTCCTGAGCCCTGAAGAATGGGCGAGAGTGGTGGGGTCAACGCCCTCAAACAAGCCAGGGGCCCGATTTTTTTTTTTTTTTTTTTTCTTTTTGAGACAGGGTCTTGCTATGCAGTTCAGGCCTTGAGCTCACTTTGTAGCCCAGGCTGGTCTCGAACTCGCAATGATCCTCCTGCCTCAGCCTCCCCAGTGCTGGGATTACAGGCATGAGCCACCACGCCCCGCTCAGGGACCCGATTTCTCTCCCTCTCTTCACTCGTTTTCCTGCCCAGCTGCCCCTGCCCCGGGGCAACCCTGGCCCCAGACTCGCACTGACTTAGGTGAGGTACCCGGATGACCGCTGCCAAGCTCCGGTCTGCCCCTTCCCTGAAACTGGCTGAGGACGTGGAGGGGCGTCCCGTGGCCCAGAGTGAGGGTAGTGACCATGTCTGGGATTCAGGACCTGCTGATCCTGTTCCCGCACCGGAGCCCAGCTCCATCCACCCTGCGATGCACAGACCGCTCCGCTGTTTTGCTGCTTTTTGCGGCGCTGGGGATCGAACCAGGGCCTTGCATGCTAGGCAGCTGCTCTACCCCGAGTTACACTCCCAGCCCTCTGCTGTTCCATCAGGAGTTCCTGCTCCCCCGCTCTCAGGGGACAAACTGAGCCTTGCTGTCGCTGCTCCCCCACCCTGTCTCGGGAATCGCTCCGCCCCTCTTCCCGCTCCCAGTCTGCACTTCTCATTTTGTTTTCCGTTTCCACACTGAGCTCTGTGCTTTGCCTGAGTAGCGCTTCGTGCTCCCAAAGGCCGCTTGCTCACCCTTGGCTGTTTGGGGTGACCACCCCCTGATCCCATCCCGCCCCTACCACTACAAAAGCAAAACAAAATACAACAAAAACAGCCTAAATTTTTTTTAAAAAATGGTTGTTTGAAGCACACTTATAATCCTAGCACTCGGGAGGCTGAGGCAGGAGAATCACTGCAAGTTTGAGACCAGCCTGGACTATACACTGAGCTCATGACAAAAAGAAAAAGAAAGAAAGAAAAAAAAAGAAAAGAAAAGGTTAGAATTTTGCCTGTGTTCACCAAAGCTCAAGATGAAAGAAACAGATACTGGAGACTTGCTTTGACCTTACCTAAGGGAATATTAGTATACTTACACTTTTAGCTGCAAAACAACTAAAAACAACTCAAATTAGTGATGCAAGAAAGGAAATTTAAACCGGGCTTGGGGGTGCCTGCCTGTAATCCCAGCATGCAGGAGGCTGAGGCAGGAGGATCACTTGCAACTTTGAGACCAGCCTGGGCTACAAACTGAGCTCAAGGCCAGTTTGAACTGCATAGTGAAACCCTGTCTCAAAAAGACAAAAAAAAAAAAAAAAAAAAAAAAAAAAAAAGAAAGAAAGAAAAAGGAATTTATTGGTTTATTGGCTATCAGAAAAATCAAAGACTGAAGTGAACTCGGGGCTCCCGAAATGCTCTCTAGGCCCAGGAACTCTCTCGTCCCTCCTGTTCTTCCCTTTCCGAGCCCAGCCTCCCATTCCCAGCAGTCGGAAAGCTGCTCAGCCCCAGGCTTTCCTCAGAGCTCATGCTCTGCACCGGAAGAAGCCATCTCTTTCCATGCAGGCTACAAATGACCCAGGCGCCCCGGATTGGCCCACCCCGGCTGCACTGGAGGTCGTTTGCCCAGATGATGGCATCAGATCACAGGGAGGGGGCAGAGGTGGGTGGGTGGCTCCTTGGATGACATCCAAGGCCTTTACCCCAGGGAGGAGGGTGGAGGACACCCCTCTGGGCACGCTCCTTGGTCACACGGGGTCGCCACTGTCCGCGCCCACACCAGTACCTAGAATGTCTTCTCCGACATGGAAGCTAGCAAGGAAGGTACGCTGGCCACCTACATGATGATAGCCACACTACAGCTAGGTCACATTTGACCAACGGAAGTCTGAAGGGGTGGGGGTGGGGGTGGTTTTCTAGGGTGTCTTTTTTTTTTTTTTTTTTTTTTGTCTTTTTCGTTTTTACCGGTACCAGGGATCGAACTCACGACTGCCTGCTTGCAAGGCAGGCGCTTATGCCGCTGAGCTAAATCCCCAGCCCCTCTAGGGTGTCTTTGAGTCTCCTCAGAAATACAGGAGCGAAGTAAAGGGCACACTGGGTCTGGGTCTCCCCTTTATTGTTGGCAGACATGGCTTTCAATCTGTTAGCTACATAGGTGACCGATGCAAATCCCATGGGATAGAGAACCCTGGGGAGCAGAGCCCCTTAGCAGAGCAGGGATCCTTGAGGAGGGAGGCCTGCAGGGGACCAGGGTCCCCATCCAGACCCCCTATTGGAGTAGCTATCTTTTCCTTTCCCTGCAGCAAAGTAACTAAAGGGACAGAGAGGACCGGAACGTGACCAGCACAGCTCCCTGCAAATGGAAGGGAAGTGGTAAATTTTCCAGAGCCTCCTGGCGACTGTGGCATTGAAGCTTGCCTAGGTCCAGAGCAGGAGACTTCAGGCGGACACTCCTAGGTGCAGTGTTTTGGCGACCCCATTGTGGGTATGGCCCCCGCCCTTTGCTCCTGTTCCCGTCCCTGACTCTCTGTACTGCCTGCCCGCCGGGTTGCTGTGGTGTGAGGCCCCTGGCGCTTGGTCCCAGCTTGCTTAGCCGGGGTTGTGTCTTTGTACCTGAAGCCTTTTCTCCCATCACAGTGGGCTTTGCTTCTCTGCACCTGCCACACTGCAGTGTGCCAGGTGCCCCCCCCAAGGCCTCTTCCCACTGCGTCCAGACTGGGCCAGGCCCTGGTCATGTTGACTAAGCTAAGCCACAACTGCAGAGCCTGCCGGGGAGGGAGGAAGCAGGAAGGCGCCCCATGTCTTGTGGGCACCTCCTGCCTGCTGGGAGAATGGGGGTGGGAAAATCTTGCTCCCCAACCTGGTGTTCTTGGAGGCTGCTGACACCCTCCCCCTCCCTGGGGACTCTGCCTGTCTCTGTGAAGGGGTGACCCGAGGTGTCTTTCTTTGGCCTCGAAGTTCTACGTGGGCTGACCACAAAAACAGATGCTTTCCTGAACTGTTCGGAGGTTCCGCATCAGGAGGAAGCTGCCTGCTACAAGACAAGATTTTGCTTCCCAGGAAGTAGATGAAGACTGAGCTTTTCTGAGTAACAAATGGGTAGGGCTTTGGATTGTAAGTACATCTGGAAGGAAAGGAAAGGTGCTTATTGTTGCTTTTTGATACTATCATGGGAGCCCAGGGATTATATCAGACTTGAGTATGTGGGGGACAGGAGGAGATGGAGGCCTAGACATCAGGGTGACAACAACCCGCTTAGAGTGGGCCCGGTAACCCTCCACAGACGCAGCCCTCCGGTTACTGCCTGAGAAAGGACTTCCACCTAAGACAATGAACAGGGCTCCCTAATTTCTCTGGGGGAGATGTGGTCTGTAGTTTGGGACCACAGCCTGCAGGCCCTGAGGAGGGGGGAAGAAGGCAGGGCATCGGAAACAGGTGGCTAGAGACAGAGCAGCAGAGCCTGAGGTCTAAGCCCAGCTCAGTCAGGCACACAGGGCCAACCCACAGGCTCCCTGGTCATCTGTTTCTGTTCAGCTTCCCTGGTGGCTGCCCAAGGTGGAGATGATGGTGCGGGCCGGGTGTTGGGATGTCCTTGGGTTCCATACCACCTATGGGGGAGGGGAAAGAAAGGGTCTTAGACTGCAGATGGTTTGCAGAGTACCCTGGGCAGCACCTCAGCTGAGCCCATGGAGAGGCAGCAACCAACATGCAACGAGGGGCCAGATCCTTGTATCCCAGTCAAAGGAATGCACACTGTCCCTAGAGAGGGGTGCCACCTTGGGGCGCCTCTTCACTTTGGGACAATTTCTTGCTTTCCTATTTATTTATTTATTTTTTGTCTTTTTCCTTTTTATCGGTACCGGGGATCGAACTCACGACTACCTGCTTGTAAGGCAGGCGCTTATGCCACTAAGCTAAATCTCCAGCCCCTACTTATTTATTTTTGAGACAGAGTCTTACTATGTTCAGGCTGGTTTTGAAATCATTATGTAGCTTTGGCTGGCCTCAAACGCTCATCCATCCTCTTGCCTCAGCCTCCCAAATGCTGAGATTACAGACCTGCACCACTACACCTGGCTCATTTCCAGGCAGTTTCTTTCTTGTTTTTTAAAACCGGTACCAGGGATTGAACTCACGACCATGCACTTGCAAGGCAGGCGCTTATGCTGCTGAGCTAAATCCTCCAGGCAGTTTCTAAAGGGAGCTGACAATGGAGGGCTGTCGGCCCATAGTTCTGTAGCAGCAAGGGGGAGTCGTCCTCTGTCATGAGAGGGACATGACTGGTCTCTCAAGGTGACAACTACCCCTTGCTGTGATCGGCTATGACGAACTTCTAGGAGCTTTTTTTCTTTATTTTTGTTTTGTTTTACATTTTTATTGTCGTTGTTCCCGATAGGTACTTGCAGAAAGAACAATATAAAAGCCTTGACTGAAACAGAAACATGAGGACTATTATCTTGATTTTTCCATATCAAGCAGGAGGGTTGGGGCAGTCATTCTTATACCCACAGAGGATCCTCCACTTTACCGTGGACTTTTTGTTGTTGTTGTTGCTTGTGTGAGGTATGGTTTCACTGTTTACCCCAAGCTTGTCCTGAATTTGTGGTGATCTTCCTGCTTCAGCTTCCTGGGTGCTGGTATTACAAGCAGGTGCCACCATGCCGAGCTCAGTTTACCAGGTACTTTAATTTGCACAATCTCATTTGAGCCCAATCACAACCTGTGATCACCAATGACGACGGGGCTGGGATCATTACTTGTGATTTAGAGACAAAGAAGCTCAGTTTCAAAGAAAATACAGATTGTACTTAATTGGAAAATGAAATGTAAAGACCAGAAGATCAACCACATAATCAATGACTCACAGATAACAGGAACAGTAGACAAGGCTGTGCTGCCTTCCAGGAGACCAGAGCTCTGTGCTCAATGGGATTTTTAAAATACAGAATGGGCGACTCCTATTGAATTCCCACCCCACTTAGCTATCCAGCCTGCACCAATCCAAAATGGGTCTTGGAGAAGGACGTGGACTGTCATAAACTTAATCAGGTTGACTCTAACTGCAGCTGTGTGCCAGATGTAGTTTGAGCTAAATCCCTGGCCACCACTGTCAGTGTTGAGTGGGGACCAGGACAGAAGGCATCATCAATTGTTCTGCCCGCTGGGCACGCTACTCTGCCACTGGGTCCAGGAGCCAGCGGAAGGGGTGGTTCTGGAAGTGTCGGTTCTGGAAATGTCAGTGGTAGGATGCTGCCATTTCGGGGACCACAGTGCAGATGCAGTGCACTGCCAAGCAGTCAGGCGTGGTGGCACATGCCTATGATCCTAGCACTTGGGAGCCTGAGGCAGGAAGATTGCTTTGAGTTCAAGGTCAGCCTGGAATACACAGTAAGTTCAAGGCCAGTCTAAAATACACAGTGAGACCCTGTCTGTTACGGCTTGTATCTAGATGTCCCCCAAGCCACATACAGTCATAGTGGGGTTTTCTGAAGGTGGCTGGATCTAGTGTGTGATGCTGGGACTAACCACACCCTGGGAATGTGCGCTACCCACACTGAGGGCAGGTAACATGGCTTGAATATAAAGAACAGAGAGGGCTGCTGCCATGCTTGTTGCTGCTGCCTCCCGCCCACCCTGCTCTGCCATGAACTGGTCCTTCCCTGTGATGTCCCGTGCAGTGCCACCCTGCCTTGGAGTCAGGCGATTATAGACTGAAACCTCTACAAACTAGGAGCTAAAATATACCCTTTTGCCTTTGACTTTAGGTGTTTGGTGTTTCAGCAATGAGAAAAGTAACTAAGACACAGAAAGAAAGAAAGAAAGAAAGAAAGAAAGAAAGAAAGAAAGAAAGAAAGACTTTGAAGCTAGACCATTTCCTGGATTCTGAGGTTTTTACAAGGCTTCATCATCCAGGCTGAACTTTAAGCTGATACCAAAAGCAAGGCTTAGTCACACGATGCAGTTTACTTTTTTTTTGGTACCTGGGATCAAACTCATGTCCTCACCCTTGCCAGGCAGGCACTTACACCACTGAGCTAAATCGCAGGCCCTCATGTTGGTAATTTTATCTTTTGTAGTTTGTTACTCTTGGTCAACCATGGTTCAAATATTAAATGGAAAATTCCAAAAAAAAAAAAAAACAAAAAAAAACCTTTTGAGTTTTAAGTAACTTTTGTTATGTCATCATAATTGTTCTATTTTACTGATCGACTACAGTACTTGGAACTGAACCCAGAAAGCAATGAGCCACCTCCCCAATCCTTTTTATTTTTTTTAGGTACTGGGAATTGAACTCAGGCCCTCACGCTTGCCACACAGGCACTAAGTTACCCAGGTTGGCTTCAAACTTGCAATCATCTTGCCTGAGCCTCCTGAGCAGCTGGGTACACAGCTGTGCGCCACTCCTGGTTCTATTTTATTTCTGCTGTTGATCTCTTACTGTGCCTTGTCTGTAGGTTAAACTTTATCACATATATATGAAAAAATGTAGACTATTAAAAGGCCAGTGCTACCCAGGTTTTCAAGGGTCCATGGCTGGGGTGGAGGTCATCTTAGATGCACAGTGTCTGGTACAGATGAGGGGAAATTTCTATATTCTCCCTTTTCTAATTTTTTTTTTTTTTTTGTACCAGGGATCAAACTCACAACTGCATGCTTCCAAGACAGGCGCTTATGCCGCTGAGCTTAATCCCCAGCCCTCCCCTTTTCTAATTTTGAGGCAGGGTTTTATGAAGGTGCCATGGCTGATCTTGGAACTTGCCATTCTCCTGACTCAGCTTCCTGTGGACTGGGATTATGCATGTGTCACCATGCCTGTCTCTGTATTCTTTTGATACAGCTCTTAGCAAACCGCTGGGCGTGCAGAGATTTAACACAGACCAGTATGAATGTGACTGATGCTGCAAGACCTCAGTGCCCAGCTGGGCTCCACAGGCAAGCAGCCGGCCACCCTGCTCCCTGCCACTCCCTCAGCCTGCGTCCATGGGCTCATGGGGAAGTCCAAGGACCAGATGACCAAAGAAGGAAAAGAAAGCAGGCCAGACCCTGGTATAATCCTACTCACAAGCAGTCCTGAGGACAGAACCCTTCAGGCAGGGTGGTTCCCAGTGTGGGGGAAGTGTGGCCAGCAGGCAGCACTGTGGTGGGGAGTCCCGGAAGGGCCAAAGGCTGCATGATTTCCCCTTAAAACTGGGAAGGAGGCTGGGGTTTAGCTCAGTGGCATAAAGTGCCTGGCAGGCAAGCGCGAGGTCGTGAGTTCAACTCCTCATATCAAAAAACAAAACAAAATCAAAAAGAAACCCAAAAACACTGGGAAGAAGGTAAGGGCATCGCTCTCAGCACTGCATCCAACACTGGGTCAGGGTTCAGGACAGTGGCGAAGGCAAGAAAAAGGAACAGGCACAGCTCAGAGAGGAAGAAGACTGCATGACTGCGGATGCAAGAACTTCAAAAGCATCCACAACAGTAAGCTATCAGAACTAGGAGGTTTAGCCGAATGGCAGGATGCAAAGTCCCATGTAAAAAACAGTTGAAATTTTCAAATTAAAAAAAAAAATTTCAAGAGTGTTAAAAATCAGAAAAAAACACCCAGGGTAAGTTTAACAAAAGCTGCATATTTGGGGTTAGGAAACTGCTCCCTAGTTAGTAACCCTCCCTAACCCAGAAGCATGGTGAAAGCTAAAAAACAGGAGGAGAAATGAAAAGGAGAGATCAGTGGAGACCTACGGCTCCATGCTCACGGACTGGGAAGAAGCCACACTGCTGGGACATCGTTCTTCCCCAGTGATAAGCATCCCCAATGCAAATGCCACCAGGCTGCTTCTCTTTTCTTAAAAATTAGGAAAATTGAGAATTAATAAGCCAATTCTAACTTAATACTGGAAAGAGGTGAGCAATGGTTTCAAAAAAGGTGCCAAGACATTTAATGGGACAGCAGGGCGGTGTGGGGTGGGGGACAAGTGGTCTGGGAATACTCGGACATCTATGTGGGGAAAAATAAAGGAACCCCAACCCTCATCGTTGTCAACACAAAAATTAACTCAACATGTACTGTGAAAGGGCAACTAAAATTTCTAGAGGAAAACAGATGATCCTTCTGACATGTGGATAGGCAAAGACTTATTAGGACACAAAAAGTACAAACCATTTGGGCTGGGGATTTAGCTCAGCGGCATAAGTACCTGCCTTGCAAGCAGGCTGTTGTGAGTTTGATCCCCGGTACCGATAAAAAAAGAAAAAGACAAAAAAAAAAAAAAAAAAAAAAAGTACAGAAAGTTTGATATACTGGCCTGTATCAAAATTGGATACTTACTTTCTTTAAAAGATACGATTAGAAAAATAAAAAGGGAATTTGAGGGAAAATATTTGCAAAACATGAATCTGACAAACAGCCTGTATCCCGAATACCATCTATAGATCTATTTATTTATAGGGTCTTGCTATGTAAACTCATGGTGACAGCATTACATGCATGTGCCACTGTGCCCAGTCAGGATACAATTTAAGTAACAAACGGCAATTTAAAAATTTTTAAGTAGTACTATATTTTAATACAAATTTTAAAGGGTTTTTTTGTTTTTTCTTTCAGACAGGCTTTCACTTTGTGAACTCACTTGTCACCAGATCTTGTCAAATTCGAAGTGATCTTCATGTCTTAGTCTCTCAAGTGCTGGGATTACAGGTGTGCGCCACCATGTCTGACTTCATGCAAATTTTTATTTTTTTATTTCTTTTGGTTCTGGATATTGAACTCATGCTCATGGAAATTTTAAAAATTTTTCAGTGCATAAGATAGTTATGTTGATGGGTGTTACATGCCTGTAATCCCAGCACTCGAAAGACTGAGGCAGGAGGATCATTGAGTTCAACGCCAGCTTGAATTACCTTCAAATACTGTCTCAAAAAAAGAAAAGAAAATTATGTCGACACTATATTGTAATCCAATGAATGTACAATAATAACATCTGTCAGTAATGTGAGTACTTTGATTAAAAAATACTTTATTGCTAAAAAATGCTACCAATCATCAGAGGTGTTGGAAAAACTGCGCTGACAGACTTGCTTGACACAGAGCTGCCACAAATAAGAAACTTTGGCAAGCAGTTTCCTAAAGGTTCACGTTGACCATAAAACTCAGCAGTCCATCTTCTGTGTGATTACCCCAAAGACTTGGGCACAGATACTCACGGCAGCCCAGTCAGAAACAAGCATTAAGGAGACAAATACGAGTGCATCCCTGCAGGGAACACTAAGCAACAGGAGCAAACAAACTCCTGACGGAACAGTGTGACTGAACCTCCAAAGCATTACGCCAAGGCGCAGAAGCCTGAGGAAACACACCCATGCTGCAGTCTCCTCGTTTACACGGGGTTCCAGAGAAGGTGAAACCACAGTGGCAGGGGATCCGCAGTGGCTGAGGGGAGGGACTGGCTGTGAAGGGCGCAGAGAGGTGAGACGGCTCAGCGCTGGACTGTGTTGTGACTCTGTGACCGAACCAGTTTACAGCACCGGGAGTTTCCAGCTTGCAGTAGAGGGAGGGAAGCAAAGGACAAAGGGACCCCAGAAGACTCTTTCAAGCTGAGGATAGGCCTTGAACTTACCATATAGCCCAGGCTGGCCCCGAACCTGCGGTGATCTTTCTGCCTCAGCCTCTTGGGTGCTGGAATTATAGGCATGTGCCACCACGTCTGTGGGCAAAATATTAGGCTGCAAGTCTTGGAGGTTTGAGATGCTGTTGCCTCTGTGGGTCTGCGGCCTGGTGGCTGGTCTGGCACGCTTCCTGTCATGGGACAGGAAGAAGTCCTGGGAGGAAAGTAAATGAGAGTGAGAACAAGCTGGAACCCATCAGTTACCTGTGCTTTATTGCCTTATGTGACTGCAAATTTCAGAAAGTAACGTCCTGGCTGGGTGTGGTGCACAGGCCTATAGTCCTAGCACTCAGGAAACTGAGGCAGGAGGATCAACGTGAGCTTGAGGCCAATCTGAGCTACACAGTAAGACCCTGTCTCCAAAACAACAAAAACCAAAAAAAAAAAAAAAAAAAAAAAAAAAAACCACCACCACCACCACGACCACCAAAAAACCACACATGGTGGTGCACTCCTATAATCCCAGCACTCATGAAACCGAGGCAGGAGGATCGTTATGAGTATGAGACCAGCTTGGGCTACAAAGTGAGCTCAAGGCCAGCCTGAACTACATAACAAGACCCTGTCTCAAAAAGACAAAAATAGAAATGGGCCTGCTCTACTTCTGCCTCCCAGTCTGGTGTACATTTCTTTTTGGCCAACTCTTAAAATTGATTTGTCCTCTATGGAAAGGGATTCTGGGTAATAGCCAGCTTGAGTTGAAAATAATACAAGATAGCACACAAACACACAATTTCAAGAGTCAGTTTTATTACTTTTTATGTGACTAAGTTTTCTTATTGTTATCTAAATAAAAATAAAAAATAGGTATAGCTTGGTAATTAACAGTGTATGTTTAGCTAAGGGATAATATTCAATCAATAATGTCAACTGGAAAGGATCAGTCTTTTTTTTGAGACATGGTCTGGCTATGCAGCTCTGGCTGGCCTTGAGCTCACTTTGTAGCCCAGGCTGGTCTCAAACTCGAAATGATCCTCCTGTCTCACACCAGGATTACAGATGTGAGCCACCATGCCCAGCTAGGATCAGTCATCTTTTACTGTGAGATGTGTCCAAAAAATTTTGTATAATGACATACATACATATATATATATATATATATATATATATATATATAAACATAAAGCATATATGTTGTTTTAATCTTGCATACTAACAGAAAAAAAAAACTTAAGAGGCTTATAATCACAAGCAGTTTAAATTTTAATTTCTATCCTGTGTGTGCGACCAAAGCGTATGATTAACAAAGATTTTGTACTGGGGGTAGGGACAGAGCTCAGCAGGATATTTACCAGGCATGAGGCCTTGGGTTCAATTCCTAGCAACCCTGCCCTCAAAAACGATTTTTTGAGCCGGGCTCTCCTTACAGAAGTTCAGGCTGGCCTGGAACTCAGTGTACGTGCACTTCCTAAATTCTGGGGTCACAGGGATGCACCACCACGCTCAGCTAGTTTTCTTTTTTAAATTAGGAAATCTACTTTTATGGCGGTCACAGTGGCCTGAATGAGGTACAGCAACAATTCTGGAGGTAACCCCCACCCCAGGTTTCCAGTTACCATAACTATTCTTTGTTGAGCTCAGCTGAAAACCCTGACTCAGAGAAGACTGTACTTCTGGCAGTGTAGGAGGGCTTTTTAGAGGCAAAGACAACTTTGTCTTCCCAGAGGACAACTCCTCCGCTTGGCTTTATGAGGCAGATAGCAACCCCAGGCCACACAGAAGGCCAGGACCTGCGCAGGCCTCAAGGTTGCTTTCCACAGAGGAGGCAGGGGCTAGGGGAGGTGGGCTCCCTCCCTGTGTTACTGAAAAAGGGGCGCTTCACAAAGTGACAGATCCTATTTTCTGCTGCACCCATATTTTCCTTTACTGCTTTATTTATTATCTTTATTTATTTATTGTTTTTTGAGACAGGGTCTCACTATGTAGTTCAGGCTGGCCTTGAACTCACTTGTAGCCCAGGCTGGTCTCGAACTCACAGACATGTCCTACCTCAGCTTCCTGAGTGCTGTGATTACAGGTGCGCACCACCATGCCTGGCTCTTACCTGCTTTCAGGGGGAAATAAACATAAATACCAATCTCCATAGGAAAAACCTCCATCCAGGACAGGATAGGAGAGATCTAAATTTCAGTTTCCAGCAAACATGTTTCTTTCTTTCAAAAAATATCCAACTTTGGGGCTGGGGATTTAGTTCAGCAACACAGTACCTGCCCGGAAAGCATCAGGTCGTGAGTTTGATCTCTGGTACCAACCCAAGCCAAAAACCGCAAAGAAATATTCAATTCTGCTAAGAACATGTGAAACTGCAAACGTGTTTACCTACAGTAAATGCCTAAATTCCTAAATGCCTCAAGGGAGCACAGCTCCTTTTAGAGCAAGACATCCTGTTAGCTGCTAGGCGGGAATTTTAAGGGCTAATTACTTGAGCTTTGGAGTAAGAAGCTGCTGCCTGCCTGGGGACAGTAAATGCCCCTTAGCTGTCTGTTTCAGAAAAGGCCCTTCAGAGAAGACCTCAAGGAACAGGTTTACATCAGCTCAAGATGCCAATTCCTCCTCGCGGACCCAGGGTAAACTGCTGACTATGCTAAATTTTCCAGCCTCAGGTGGTTTTGCCTGCTGTTTTTAAACACGTGCTGTATGAACCTTGATGTCCAACTGACCTTGCCCAGCTCCTGTGTGTCTCCACAGTGTTTCGGGTAAAATTCCCTTCTTTACTTGCTGGATGTGGTGGCGCACCCTGTAATCCCAGCACTCAGAAAGCGGGACCAGGAGGATCCCGCCCCACCCTCGCCCCGTCACGAGCCAAAGTTCGAGGCCAGCCTGGGCTACCAGTGAGTTCAGATCCAGCCTGAACTACATCACGACTGGCTCGGCTGTAATGAGGTGGTACGATCAAGGCGGGTTTAGGAAACCTATCCACCTTCAAATGAGGTCACTCACCGAAGTGCTGCCGCGTTTCCAGGCTGCCAGGCTATCTGCGCACGTGGCTCACGGTGGTGTCCGGGTCTCTCCCGCAGGTGGCACCGGCTCGCTCTCGGGGCCCCGACGCTCGGCATGGTTGGGTGAAGACCCGGCCGCAGCAGGTCGCGTTAGCCCTGCTGCTAGGCGTTGCCTAGCAGCCCTGCCTGGGTCGCCCCTCACGGAGGGCGCAGGAACCTCGCCTCCGCATGGTCGGAGCTCTGAGCGCCGACCCCGCCTCTCAGAGAACTCACACCACGTGGGATTCCCACTGCACCCCACTCCTCCATGGGGCGGGGTCAAGGCGGCAGGACATGGCGACAGCGGCGGGTGCCGCGGTCACTTTCCCCGGCGCCCTTGACAGATTCTCTGGCGTCGCGCAACCTACCTTGCTACTAGGCGGTCCCGGGGCACGGCGCTAGGGGCGGGAGGTAGAGGGACGAACCCTGGGTCTAGGCCAATGAGCATGCAGGTGTCCGAGCCTCATCCAATGAGAGCTCGGGAAGCGGAAACCGGGGTAGGTTACGCTCGGACTGCGCGTGAGACGGAGGCGGGACGCACGGGACCTTTTCTGCAGCCGGGCCGGGGTCGCCCTCCCGGTGGCTTCTAGCGAGCTAGGTACCACAGGACCCCTGGCATCGGCTAGCTGTACGGAGGAGCCACGAGGCCGAGCCCGCTAGGGCCTGGTGCATCGGAGCAGCTCGCAAACGGAGACTTCCTCAGCGGTCGCCGCGAAGAGACATGAGGTTCGGGGCTTGCCCGTGGCTCCGTGAGACGGACTCGGGGGCGTCCTGTTAGGGCCTCCTCGGCCGGCGCTGGACCTTCCTCCTGTAGCCCGGGGGTGTGCAGCGGCGGCAGCATGTTCCCACGAAGGCCTCTGGCCGCCTGGCTGGCGAGGGCGCGGGGCGGGGGCCTGCTGCGCCTGCTGGCCAATCAGTGTCGCTTCGTGACGGGGCTGCGCGTGCGGCGCGCGCAGCAGATCGCGCAGCTCTACGGCCGCCTCTACTCTGAGAACTCGCGCTGCGTCCTGCTCGGACGCCTGTGGCGTAGGCTGCGCGGCCGCCCGGGCCATGCCTCTGCCTTGATGGCGGCGCTCGCTGGCGTTTTCGTGTGGGACGAGGAGCGGATCCAGGAAGAGGAGTTGCAGAGGTGAGTCTTGCTGCGCCGCGAGTGGGGGACGCTGGGAACTTGGGGTCCGCCCTGTGGTTGCCCGATATCCCCTGCTGACGCGGTGGGGCGGCAGTAGGTGGATGCCGTTTTAACCATCTGCGGTATTCCTTTTCTGTGTTCATTGCTTTTGTCATGTTGAAAATAACTGCGAGTGTAGGTTAATCCAGGAGGGAGACTTCAAATGGGTAGCAAGCATGATGTTAAAGAAAACAGCATTGCAAAACATACATTAGATGTTTTAGGTATGGAGCCAGAGCTCGCTCAATTTTTATTTTTGTTTTTTTTATTTTCACCTTAACACACCCAAAAAAACACGTTCAAAACGCATTTGAAACTCGATCTGAAGGTGTCGTTCTGCCATTTGCAAAATAACTGCCATCCAGATGGGACTTGGGCGTTGTGAGAAATGCCCGGAGAGCTCCCTGTTATTGTGACTTGGCGTGTTGGCAGAATTAAGAGGCTGGAAGGGATTTTTGCCCTGCTTGCACAAACCGGTAGCCTATTTCCTTGTAACCTGTAAAGTTAGGTTGGATTTTTGCTGTTTTAGAGCTTTGAGAATACTGTGCTATTAGAGTTTGTATCACTGCTGTCATTAAAACTTCTGTGGAAAAACCCAGTAAGGTATAGTTCGTTAGACCTGTTAATCTGTCGCTGAGTCTTGAGGCTTCATCATTTTTCGGTACTTCATAGAGAAACTTTGCTTTAGGATTTGCTTTACAATGTCTCTACTTTCTGTTATCACTGGTATTATTATTACAATTCTGGGGATTGAGTCCACAGCCTTGCACATGCTAGGCAAGTGTTGTATCTCTGAACTAGCCCTTTTAGTTTTTCCATTTTGAGATAATCTCGCTGTTACCCAGGCAGGCCTCAAACTTGCTATCCTGCTTCAGCCTAACGAGTAGCTGGCATTACAGGTGTGCACCTTAGGGCCCTGCTCTATTTTTTTTTTTTTTAAACAAATGTTCTTAAGCTGCACAGCTCTGCCCTCTGCCCTCGCCCCCCAGCATTCTGCCTCTAAATTCTAAAAACTATGATTTCAGGAACAACCCCTCCCCCAATAGATCCCACAGAGGAGTTGTTGTTTATAGTTCTTCAACAGGGAGACACCCTGTTCTTCCACATTTTTGATTAACTCCAGAATAGTAATCCACCAAGTTACTACCATGGCCTGTTTGGGATGTGTAACACTCAGATGTCAGGCAGCTATTTGTGTAACACTATGAATTGTGGGAAATGCAAGTCTATCTTAAGAACTAGGAGCTGTGGACAGTTGTGCATCCATGTCTCAAAATAAATATAAAGGACTAGGGATGTAGTTCAGTGGTAGCATACCCCTAGGTTCAGTCCCCAGTACCACACTTGCTCTTGCAAACATGCTTGCGTGTACACACACACACACACACACACACACACACACAAGATTCCTCTGGGAATTCTTTTCCTCTCAGGAAAGAATGCTTTTTAAAATGTAATTTAAAATCATAACCAGAAACAACCTTATTCTCCAAAAGAGTTTAGGTATTAACAGTCTTCTGTGACTTTGACATTTGTGCTAATCAGTCTCTTGGAAGAAATAAAAGAATGGGAGGAAACTTTAGGAAATTGCCAAGCTGGGTGTGGTAGCACAGGCCTGTAATCCTAGCAGTCTAGGTGATTTGACACAGGAGGACTACACTTTTGAGCCTGCCTGGGGATTTAGTAACTTGGGAGGCCCTGTCTTAAAATAAAAAGGGCTGAGGCTGAGCTCAGCGTGGAGGCCGTGGCTTCACATAGTGGTGCAGGTGAAAGAAATCTTCAGTTGGGTTTGCTTAAGGAAAAAGATAAGCACTCTGGGTGCAAAAGAGGAGTTTTAGAAGAGTAGGATTTGAATCATGTTGGGGTGTATGTGGTAGATAGCACTCTTAGGCTTACTTCATACATTTATGTGGATAATATGGCTAAAGTCCCTTTTTAGCAGTTCTCCCATTTGTGGGAGCTGGATGGGAAGTAAATGTAATAAGCATTGGATTTAGTAGGCACTCGCGGTTATGGCAGAGATGGGACCAGTTGATGATGAAGCCAGATAATTACTTTGTTTTGCTCTCTCGTGGGTGTCTCCAAAATGTGGGAGCAGTTAAAATACTTTTGGTTTAATCCAGCTTATACACGGAGAAGTTATTCAGTGTTACCCAGCTTCGAAACTTCAGAGTTTAATGAAAAGTCTAGTCTCATGTGGTTGGCGGAGTACTGGGAATTGAACTCTGTGATCTTGCCACAGGGATAACAGCCCTAGCCAACAGACTTTTCTGGTGATCTTTTGATGACATCTTGGGGTTATGATAGTGAAGCCCCTTGTTTAACACTTTGTCAGGTTCATGCTTAAACTCAACTTTTCATATATTTGAGATATGATCAAGTTTTCCATCTTGGAGATGTTTCTCTTAAAATGTTTGTTCTCGTGATAAGAAGGCAAATTTGCTGTTTAACAGCTACATCTTGGTCGTACAGTGGTTCTTTGGGTCATTGTTTAGAGACAGTTTCCCCATGTAGTCCAGGCTGGCCTTCAGCTCACTGTGATCTTTCTGCCTCAGCCTCTTGAGTGCTGGGATTATAGGTGTGTGTCACCACGCCCAGTTTACATTTATATTTTATGGAATAAAATATTATGATTTTTTTTTCTTGATGTTTATTCTTTTTGCTATAGAGAAGCACTGCGGGAGAGGTTGTGTTACAGCTAGGGTAGAAAGAGCTAAGTCTTGAGTTTGTTTATGTTATGAGGTAATTTTGAGTAGTGTCCAAGATGAAGCCCAGCTGTCTCTCAGGTTAAGCACATTTCTCTCGTTGTTAATGGACAAAGATCCTGATTGTCCCAGGTCCCTAAATCACAGCTTGTGGCTCACCTGCGTGGTGCTTCTGTACCAACTTGCCCTGATCCTGATGTTGCTGTCTTGGTTAAACAGGTTCGCAGCATGAAAGGTACCTTTTAGAATGTGAACTTTAAAATGGCATGTGACTTTCTTAGATTATTTTAGTTTCTATCACAAATGAAACAGCATAATCTTTCTTGACTTTTGTGCTAAAGAATTTTTTTTTTTTTTAAATGAGAAAGAGATTCACTATGCCATTCAGGCTGGCCTTGAACTCTGTAGTCCAGGCTGGCGTTAATCTTTCTGCTTCCACCTCCCAAAAGCTGGGATGATAGGTGTGTACCATCATGCCTAGTGTGTTTAAGAAGGTCTTAACAGATCAGATTTGTTAGATTTAAATAATTTTAATTTTATTTGAGCAAAGTAAACCCATTCATAGTGGTTTTGATTTGCAGTTGAGTCCAGATGCACAAATGAGATCTTTTGCTTAGAGGCTGAGGTAGGAGAATTCTCAGTGGTTTTGCTTGTGCAATTTAGCAAGATCATGTCTCCAAAAAAAAGAAAGAAAGAAAGAAAGATGGAAAAAGGGCTTGGGAATGGTAATTTAGTGCCACACCCACATAAAATTCTCCGTACCACCAAAAAAACAAAAACAAAAAAACTCCACACCCCAGACGTTTCTTTTTTCTTTTTTAAAAAGAACAGATGTTTCAGTGCTTGTGCTAGTATTCTCAACCTGTTGCCTGCAATTAAACAATCACTGTTTTTGGTACATTTTGTGAGCCCACGCCAAATGTTATGGAAAAATTCAGTAGTTTTTTTTTTTTTCCACTTCAGAACAGTTAAAAATAAGTATAGGAACAAAAAGAGGAAAGATGTTAAGAAATCTGAAAGTCTTTGGGAGTATATTTTATTTACTTCCTCCATCCTATTTCAGTTTCGATTCATTGTTTTAGAAACTTGAATAAACAGTGCCACTAAAACTTAACAAGGAAAATTGGCCATTTTCCCATTTTTGTATTTTAGAGGCTTTTGAGTATATTGAACTTCCGTGTGTCATTTTACTAGATGAATACTCGATGTTAAGTCGTTTTGGGTTAAAGGAACTTTTTTGGAGAATCCACTGTTGCTGCACTTATTTTACCTATTTTATTTTACTTATTTTACCTATCAGCCTTTGATCATGATTTTTAACTATCTTCATTGTTTTACCTTAAGTGTTACCCCAGAACTACCATGAACTAATTGGTGTTTGTTATTTCAAAAAACATTCCAAATCAAATCAGTAGTACCTGAAAATTGCTAGCTTTGGAATTTGAGGAGGGGGTTGTGGGAGGTAGGGCAGTTGTTCTGAGTTCCTTACTGAAGGGTTGTCTTGTTTGATGAGTTTTTGGGACCTTGCATCCCACTCAGTGCTGTGGGCAGGGCCCCAAGCCTAATCGGACACTGGTGTAATTATTTTGTTTTTATTGTATGCCTTCGGCCCTGCCTTTCAAACATTGAAGTGATTTTCAGAAGTTCAGACTGTCTTTATCTGATCCCTTTGCTGGGGATCAGATAAAATCACTAATCTGATTTTGTTACTATTTGGGGAGTAATCTCTTGTCCTTATGCTCTCTCTCTTCAGTTAGTTTAAGTTCCTTAGATAGGGAGATTTAGGCTGTGAGTGGTGGTGCACCCCTTAATCCTAGACTGAGAGCTGAGGCAGGAGGTCCAGAATTGGTGCCCAGCCTTGAATCAATGCTGAAGCCCCACTGGGTTCACACCCCAGTACCACAGAGAGGAAAGAAAGAAAAGGTTATGACTGTTTAGATATCTGTCCTGGCCAGACAAGATTTGGCAGGTTAGACTAAAAGAAGTGTGACTTGTCCCTCCTGCATGATGTGTATGATAGTACTTGTGCTCTGGTGTACTAAGTGTGCAGAAGTTGAAACCCTAGTGAGCAAGGTGTGCACACCTGTAACCCTTGCACTCTGGGAGGCTGAGGCAGGACTGCAAATTCAAGCCAGCTCCAGCAATTTAGTGATTTGGATCCTGTCTCAAAATAAAAATTAAAAAAGGCCTGGGGATGTAGCTGAGTACACAGGCCTTGGGTTCGGTTCCCAGTTTGGCAAACAAAAATATAACAAAAAATCCTTTACCTCAGTAGAACATGTCTGTAATCCCAGCATTCAGGAGGCTGAGGCAGGATAATGAGTTAGAATGCCAGGCTGAATGGCATAGAGAGATTTAGGCTCAAAAAACCCCTCAAAACCAAAAAAATTTAGGCAGCAAGGTACAGTACCACGAAAGTGAAAAAACAACTCATAGAATAAAAGCAGATATTTATAATTCATGTGTCTGCCAAGGGATTAACTTCTAGAATATTGTACAAAGAACTGTTAAAAGTCAATAGAAAGACTAATGACCTGATGTATGATGGGGCAGAGGATTCCCACAGACATGTCTCCAAAGAAGTTTCACAAAAGGCCCCTGCGCACATGCAGAGATACTCAGTGTCATTAGTCATCAGCAGAGCAGACCTCATGGGATCTCACATCACACCCACTGGGACGCAGAAAGATGGGCAATAACAGATGCTGGCTGGGATACGAGTCTTTGGGATCTGGTGTGAATATAAAGTGGTGCAGCTGCTGTGTGAGATGGTTTGGCAGTTCCTTAGGGAGTTAAACATAGGGTACCGTGACCTAGCAAATTCAGTCTGAAAAATGAATCTATGCAGGAGAGCCGAAAACATGTCTGTGCAAGAGACCTGTGCCCAAATGTTCTCAGCGGTATTATTCACAGTAGCTCTGAGTGGGAACAACCCGATGTCCTTGACCCAGTAAACCAAAGGTGACATGTCCGTACGATGGAATGCTGTTCAGCTACAAAAAACATAAACTGCATCAGTGGAAGTATTTCCAGCAAAGGAAGTCACCTGTAGTCACGTATTATGATTCCATTCATGAAGTGTCCAGAATCAGCAAGTGCATAGAAAACAAGCAGTGGTCAGCCTTGTGGTTTCCAGGGCTGGCAGGGAGGCAGGCCTTGGGAATGACAAAGGATGGGCACAGGTTCCTTCCAGGGAATGATGACAGTGATATCTCAGTTTGGAAAGGAGGAAAAACAAATAAGTACCCTAAGCAATATAGAAAGAGGAAAACTCACAGAAATGGGCAAAAGATTCCCAGTGGCATTTCACAGTCATAGCTGTGGCGGTTCACTCGAGGGCTGTGTGCCCGGAAACGGTGGGCACAGAAGCCTGCTCACGCGCCCTTACGTGAGCGCTAGGCTGAGATTTTAGCCCGGGAGCTGCTTCCGGCCACCACACTGCGCTGTGGCACACCCATGCCACCCCTCTGCAGGGCTTGCGTGGGCCCTTGGGGGCACAGGGCCCGCCAGCCATCTCTACCGTGCCTCTGTTTGTCCTTTCCAGGTCCATTAATGAGATGAAAAGGCTGGAGGAAGTGTCAAGTATATTTCAGAGCTCTGGAGTTGAGCACCACACTCCAGAACCGAAATCCCAGATAGAAGGGCCCGAAGGCTCGGAGGACGGAGCGCAGCAGTGGGAGATGGTTATGGACAAGAGGCACTTCAAGCTGTGGCGGCGCCCCATCGTGGGCACCCACCTGTACCAGTATAGAGGTGAGTGGCCACCACCTTGGTGCCTTCTACGCCGCTTGGGTGGCTTCTTGGAAACTACCATGCTTATGTTGTTGTTGCGTCCCCTTGCAGATGACCTGCTTCTCAGCTGCTCCTCACTGCAGCTGTCTTTGTCCTTGCCTGGTCTGGCTTCTGGCTTCTGTACCTGGCCTTGGTCATCCGCCCCGCTCATGAGCCACAGTGCAGCCAGGTGGTGGGAAGGATGAGGCGCAGGGTGTGGCAAGCGTCCCTTATTTTTTCTTGTCATTCCAGTGTTTGGAACCTACACAGATGTGACACCTCGGCAGTTTTTCAATGTTCAGGTGAGTTTCTGTCCAGATTCGAAGCTTCCCAGCAAGCCTGTTAACCACTGTCCACACAACATTTATGTAAACAGGATAGGAGTGTCAGTTTTTGTGTGTGTGTGTTGCTGGAATTGAACTCTGTGGATAGACATGGGCTTACAATTTCTTTACCTTTCCCACGGGGATGAGACTGATTTTAGCCATCCCTACTCAAAATCCCCAACTGTTGGGAAGATGGGTGGATTTGAATGCTTTAATATTTTTATCAGGCTTTGTTTTTTTTTTTTTTTTTTTGTACAGTTTGAAGGTAAGGTCCATATGTCTCGGTCATTTATTCCTGTCTTTCACTGTATATTTGCTGACACTAGGCCTGATTTCTGCCTTGGGTTGCTGTGGTGCTGTTGTTAAAGGCAGTGACACAGTGACTGAGACTGTGATTTAATGCGGCCTTGTTTGTGTCCCAGTTTTACTGAATAAAGTCATAGCATTTTCCTGATCCGCACAGACGCAGACTGGGTTATATTTAATTACTGCCCTTGAGCTCTTTTTAATCTGAAGCATTTCCCTGAGAAGATATTTACTAAGTGAAGATGAAGAGTAATCTGTTCAAGGGCTGTTGTCCTTGAGGTTAGGAACACATGCACAGCAGTGAGCAGGGCAGGTGGGAACACCCAGAAATCTTCTTTTCTAGTGTTTGCTTTGCCCGACTTCTAGTGACTGGTCTGTTGTGTGTGGCATTGTCTGTGGCGTGAAGTGTCCCTTTACCTGAGCACCAAATTGTGTCCGTCTGCGTTGTATTTTGTTGATTGGGATGTATAGGGTATGTCTCTTTGAAATTCCTTGATTACTGGTGGTATCAGAAATTCAGTCTGCTTCCTGCATTTCTTTGCAAAACGTCTTCTCATACTTTGGGATTTGTTTTGTCTGTTTAAGGTGTTTAGAATAATAGTGAATTTGTATCATCAAGTGATGTCTTCCCCGGATGTGTCTATTTTTCTTTGGTTTGCCTTTTATTATTGTTGTTTGGTGAGACAGGGTCTTAGTCTATAGTTTAGGCTGCCCTTGAACTCATTATGTAGCCTGGGCTGGTTTTGAACCTGTGGGGATCCTCCTGCCTCAGCTTCCCTGGTGCTGGGATTTCAGGGGTGTATCACCACATCTGGCTTTCATTTTCTTTTTTCTTTTTTTTTTTTTTTTGGTCTCTTTCATTTTTATCGGTACCGGGGATCGAACTTACGACTGCCTGCTTGCAAGGCAGGTGCTTATGCCGCTGAGCTAAACCCCCAGCCCCTCCATTTTCTTTTTAAGAGTCCATTTCAGTGGCTGAAAGGATTTAAAGAGTTGGCTGGAATAAATACAGTCCTGTCACTCACAGAGGGCAGCCTTGGGTCCGATCAGTGTTTCCCGTAGGAAGTCAGAAGTCCAAGTGTCTAGAGCAGCGTTCTGCACTTCTTGGTCTTTATGGTCTTCTCCTCCACAGCTGGACACGGAGTATAGAAAAAAATGGGACGCACTGGTGATCAAGCTGGAGGTGATCGAGAGGGATGCAGTGAGTGGCTCTGAGGTCCTTCACTGGGTGACCCATTTTCCTGTGAGTAGTTCTCCATCTGGGTTTGCTTCCCTTGAGCCCTTGGGTGCAGAGCACTGATCCTGCCCTTCGTTCCTTCAGTACCCGATGTACTCTCGGGATTATGTGTACGTGCGGCGATACAGTGTGGATCAGGAGAACAACGTGATGGTGCTGGTGTCACGGTAAGTGTGGCTGCGGTGTCCTTACCTAGACCCTTACCCGAGTGGGGTTCCCAGCACCTGGGCACCACCCATCCCAGCTGTAAGCAGAACGGCCCAGGAAGGTGGAGGCCTGTGGGCAGATTTTATCTGCTTGGGGTACTCAGGGTTGACCCCAGGCTTTCACACAGAGCTACATCCCCACCCTTTTTGTTGTTGTTGTTGTTATTATTATTATTATTATTTTGATTTAGAGACAATCTCTTGCTAAGTTGTCCAGGCTGGGCTTAAACTTGTGATCGTCTTGCCTCAGTCTCCCAGAATTCTTAGACATATAAACATTTAATTAAAATTTTCCTTTGGTTTCTTAATGTTGGTAACTTAAAAGGGAAGTCATCTTTGACATACGACCTAGTGAGCTGCATGTTACCAGTAGCCAAGGGACTCACTTGATGCTCAGAACTTAGTGACGCTTGTGTTTCTTTCTTTCTTATTTATTTATTTATCTATCTATCTGTCTATCTATCTATTTATTTATTTATTGAGACAGGGTCTCGCTAAGCAGCTCAGGCTGGCCTTGAGCTTTGGACTTTGTAGTCCAGGCTGGTCTTGAACTTGTAACGATCCTCCTGCCTCAGCCTCCTTAGTGCTGGGATTACAAGCGTGTACCACCATGCCTGGCATGTTTCATTTATTTTAAAAGTAGGGTGAGCATCATAGGCCCTGTTGTCACCCTTAACTCACCTGCCTTCTGCATAGATCTTACTGAACTTGGCTTCACCTTTCCTCCTTCCAGTGCTGTGGAGCACCCTAGCGTGCCAGAGTCTCCGGAATTCGTCAGGGTCAGATCGTATGAATCCCAAATGGTCATCCGTCCCCACAAGTCATTTGACGAGGTGAGTTTACTCCTCCACGCAAGAGGCAGTGAGTCATGGAAGTGTCGATTTCTCAAAGCCTTTTATCTAATGGGGCCGTTGAGCTGGTTGTGGCAGGAGCCCTGGAGTTGTTGGGACATTGCAGGGACCCAGCCTGTATCTTGCTTGGGAGGTGCCGGGTATGCCTTGGGTGGAGGCTCAGGCTGCTGCTGTAGGGCGTGCGCGTGGGCCCTGCTGTGGAGCGAGGGATGTAGCTGGAAGAGGGGCGGGGTGGGTAGTGAAGAGCCATGGTCACCACGGCTGCGAGTGGGAGGAGGTGGTGCTGCTGACCTTGTGGCTTCCATCTGGGCATCCTCCAGGAGCTAGCAGGAGTGCCCCCTACCAGTGTCTCATTGCAGTGGGCAAAGCACTGGAATCCTCTCTATATTTCTGCTTCCTTGTCTGTACAGTGGGAGGATTAGACATTAAAATTCTGACTTATCTTAGGAAAGAAACCTTGTTTCCACTTAGTGGGGTGTTTGCTTCTAAACCAGATCTCTGCTGAGTGCACGAATCCTGCCAGTGGCTGCCAGCAGTAGCTCTGCTTCACTATCACAATGGCTTTGTTTCTCCTGTTGTTTTTGTTGGTTTTTTAGCTGTGTGGATTGTGTTCTTTGTAGTTCTCTTCATCAGAGTGTTTTATCTGCCTGAAGTAGGATTGTGGCAGGGGATGAGGTTGACCGCAGAAGACATAATGTTTGACTTTTTTTAAAAACTGGATGATTTTTGTGTTTATTTGTGTGCTGTTTTTAGAACAGTATTTTTCAAGTCACAGTGATACCTGTTAGAGGGAGGCATAATTAATGAGAAAGAGAATAGTAATCATACCTTGTGAAACTATCGTTGATTACATATGAGCATGCAGGGGGGGGAGTTTGCAATGTAATAAAGATTATTTACAGTGGGGAGTGGTTAAAAATGTTTGAAAGACGCTTGCTTTAGGAGATAAAGACACAAGGCTGCTTTGAAGACTGGTTACTTTGAAGGGGAAATTGAGTCACGTGGAGAGCAAGGGAGCGATGGATCTAGTCAGACTGAATTTTTTTGTTACTGTTTTATTTGAATCAGGATGTGAATATGATGCAGATGCTGAAACTTGTTCACGCAGTCTTCGAATAGCTTTGCAGTTGTTTGTTGAGAAATAGGCCCCTTTGTCCTGGACTTTGCTGATTGTGCCCTCACAGTCTGCAGTGTCCCTTAATATGATTTTCTGTCCCCTTCTTGAATATTGGTGGGTAGATTGATTAGAGGGTGGAAGAGCTTCAGATTGGTTGGTTGGTTTAGATGGGATCACTTCATTCTGAGGCAGATAATGTCTGGTTGGCTCTTTGTGAATGTCGAAGCTATTTGATTATTTCATTAGGAATTACTAAGTTGATTTTGTAATTTCTTCTTTCCAATATGTTCCGACTGACAAATGAACTCTGTTTCTGGAGAATACTCGTAAGTCAGATTTGTTTGGAAGTCTGACAGTCTTACATACCTGTGACAAGCACACCATGTGAAGCATAAAAAAGTTAAACACACACTCATGCAGTAGGTCCCTGGGCGTACTGTGCTACAGGGCACTCTCACACTGCAGTGAGCACCCAGCACACAGCTGTGCCAGTGTCCAGCGGGAGCTGCTTCTGTGGGTGTTCCTTTTTTTTTCCTATACATTTTTTTAGTGATGGTGTTCCTAATACTAGGTGAAATGTGTTAGAGGAAATGTTCCCTGCCAACTAGCTGGTTTCCATTAGTTCTGTAGGAAGAGAAACAGGAGAAATGCTCAGCTTGTTGCCTTTGCTTACTAGTTTATAAATGAGTTGGTTCATTCAGTGAGGTATTCTCAAAGGTAAGTTTTTGTTTCGGAAGTACCCTGGAAAGCTCAGGCTCAGCGTTCTGGGGCAGCTACTTGGCAGAGGAGGCTTTTCTGGCCAGTGGGAGTCTGCCATCCTGACAGAGTGGGCGACCTCCTCCTTTCTGGTATTACAAGATGTTTCAAGATCTTACTGCATAGTTTCAGCTCTGAACTGGAAAGCAACAGCATAAGGAGTCCTGGTTCCTTTAAGTGGAAAATGACCAGTTTTGCTGCTGTTATTTATAGCTATTAGGTTATTCTTTTTTAGGCTTTTTCAGAAGGTAGAACTAAGTAACGAGTTTTGTGTTTACTTTTTATTTTTTTGCAGTATTGGAGATGCAACCCGGGGCTTCATACATGCTAAGCACTCTCCTACTGAGCCGCATCCCTAGCCCCTTGTTTATTTTCTTTTGGTTTTCTTTTTTCTTTTTAATAGACTCATAATGATAGTAATTACTCATACTTGCGGTATATAGCGTGATGTTTCGGAACATGTGTACAATGTGAAATGCTCCTGTCAGGGTAATGGGCACATCTGCCCCCTCAGACATGTGGTTTCTTTGTGTTGGGAATGTTGAAAGTCTCTTAACTATTTTGAAATATACAGTTAATTATTGTCAGCTGTGCTGCAGGGTTGGAAATTACTCTTTCTATCCACCTGTGTCCCATATAGTGTTTATTCTCCATTTACTTTGGCGTTTTAGGCATCGCTTTTTAAATTATGGAAAATATTCATTTCCCAAGTTAAATCTGTAAATGAAGAGTGCTCAGAGTCGTTTACAGTGAGTCTGTTTCTTCCACCCAGTTCCTTCCTGCTTCCTGCAGTAACCATTGCTTTCGTCAAATAATGTAGTCTTTAGGTAACTCACTGCTTCCTCTAAGCAGCCTTTTGGGGGGGCATACTGCTCCCCTGTCAGCAGGTTTCCCTCCCCTCTGTACACTTCCAGTGCGGCTGTGTCTGGCAGGGACCTTTCATCCTAGTGACATGGACAGGGACTGAGCACGTTTGTGACCTCACCACACCCAGCACAATGCTGGGTGCATAGCGGACAACCACACATGTGTTAAGTAAATGAATAAAGTTTTCAGCAGTACACCTTGCAAGGGGGAGAAAATGGACTTTGGTGTGAAAGCCGGAGTCGAAAGCTGGAGCTCTGCCAGCTGCAGTCTGCTGTAAAAATGCACGTGTGTGAAAGTGGTGGGCCCAGTGCTTCCGACATCCCTTAGGGTTAGCACACAGGGACTCTCGTTCTGTCTGTGACCTTTGCTGTGTCACACGGTGGAGGTTGAGCTGAGAGGCTGGAGATGGCATGGGCTTCACAGTGCCCTCGGTGCGTTTGTGGCCGACACTGCGCCAAGTTACTCAGGCTTTGTGTTGCAGCTCATCTGTAAAACGGGTTGTTGTGCCTGCAGGATTCCAGGATAGCTACAGGTTGAGGCCATTCCTGGCGTGTGGTGCTGTACTGTTCTTACAAAGAGAAGGAGTGGTACAGGTTCAGGTCTGTCAGCTGGAACACTGGAGCTGTACGTGGCAGGCCCCCAGGGTACTTGCAGCTGTGCAGATCTTCTGGAAGGACTCACAGGACTCTGTGGGGCTTTATAACCGTGGTGTGGGCAACACACAGTGGAACTAGTCTGGAAGAACCTGAAGGACCTACATAGGCCTGCCGTGCGTGGCAGTGAGGTGCGTGCGTGATGTTTCTGGCAGGAAGGCCTGGTGAACTCAGCACCAGAAGGTTTTCGTGGGAGGTGGTCACATTGCCCCCTCACCTGAGTGGCTGCTGACATTCCAGGTCCCCAGTGGGAAAGCCTGTGGTGAATAGGAGCCCCTGCCACTTCACTGTTGCCTGGGAGCATGGCCAGCCAAGTGGGCCAGAGCCAGCCTGGCCAAGTGGCCTTTGCACAGTGGTCTCCCTGGCCTGCAGGGAGGCTGCTCTGTGCAGGGTGACAGGGAAAGCACTTCCTGCAGTCGCCTCCTGATCGTTGCTTGGTGCTGGCTGTGAGTGGTGCTGCTGGAATCTTGTGCCCTCACCTTCGTTGTTTTTCTTCTCCAGAATGGATTTGACTACTTGTTGACATACAGCGACAATCCCCAGACTGTGTTTCCACGCTACTGTGTCAGTTGGATGGTTTCCAGTGGTGAGTAGAGATGTGTGTATAGGGCCTGAAGCCTGGGTCAAACATCTTGTTTTTCTTGATATTTTTTTGAGACAGGTTTTTGCTTGTAGTTTAGGCTGGCCTTGAACTCACAGGGAGCCTCCTGCCTCAGTCTCCTGAACTCTGGGATTGCAGGTGTGCGCCAGCCACCATGCCTGACTTCTTCTTCATCTTAATGACATCAGGAGCATGTGTCCTTGCCTCGATAGAGTCCTTTTGGGGAAATTTCTTGTCCCCCATGATTCACTCTGGTCTCTGGGTGGGACTTGAAGGGATGAGAATTACAGAGTACCAGGAAGTAACTTGTACCCAGAGGAAGAGTTTTAAAAACCTTTGCTGGAACGCCTTAGATGGAGACTATGTACATTAGTGTTTTCAGATTGCTTCTTGCTGGGTGTGGTGGTGCCAGCCTGTAATCCCTGGAAGGATGGATGAATGGGAGGCTGAGGCAGTAGGATCACAGGTTTGAGCTTAGCCTGATTAATTTAGTGAGACCTGATGTTAAAGTTAAAAATAAATACAAAAGGACTGGGCTATAGCTGAGGCCCTTGGTTCCCAGTAGTGTTTAGAGCTGTGACATGTAGTCTGGAGATGTGGCTGTGGGGCAGTCACAGGGAGCAGCTGCTGCCCGCCTCAAAGCTGCCTGTCACAGCTGTCATTCACCTTCCCCTCCCAGTGTGTTGTCTTACAAAGTGTCCTCCTGTGATCTTTCTTCTGGTTTTCTGCATCTGGTGTCTTACACTTGGGGGGAATGAAGAGAATATTTGACACTTCTGTTTGACTTTTGTCTAAATTAACTTGGCAGTAGTTCTGACTATGTCACTGGTCAGTAGTGTTTCCATCACTTTAAAAAGAGCAATTTGGGATGTAAGTGGCCTTGTGACAGTTCCTGTTTTCAAGGGATTAGAGGTCGTAGTGGTTTTTAGAAATTAAAAACCTGATAATACAGGGCAGTGCCTAATGATTACATTCATCAAGTAGAGTTGGCATGAGCCTGTATAACCTCTTTTTTTTGAGCCTGTATCACCTCTTAAGGACATCCGTTTGCTCCTCTCCCACTTTGGTTTTTATAACCCATGCATGGAGGAGATTTTCTGGAGATATCTGTCACTTGCAGGCTATCATTCAGGCTTGTTCCTAGGGGTAGGGCCTTTGTTCAGAGCCTCCAGTCGATCTGGACAGCAGCCTGACCAGCTTGTGGTGTCTGCCCACAGGCATGCCGGATTTCCTGGAGAAGCTGCATACCGCCACCCTGAAGGCCAAGAACATGGAGATCAAAGTGAAAGACTACATCTCTGCGAAGCCTCTGGAAGTGAGCGGCGAGGCCAAAGGTACTGCCCAGGCCTCCGAGCGGAAGAATGAAGGCAGCTGTGGCCCAGCTCGCATCGAGTACGCCTGAAGGGTCTCGGCAGGAGAGGAACAGGGTGCCCAGCCCTGCCTCGGACCCTTCTCATACTGCAGCATGGGGACGAGCCAGAAGTGGTGGAAAGTGCCTGCTGGGATGCCCGTGCAGGGCCATCTGGTGACTGGTGTCTTGTGTCATTTGGAGCCCTGTTGTGCTCTGCCAGGGAGAGGGTGGCATCTGTGGAGCCTTGTCCTGTGCTCAGGCTAACCACCCTGAAAATCATTATTCCACTGAGCTCACCCAATGCCACTCCTGCTTCTCAGGCCGTGGGTTGCTCATTTGCTGACCCTGAGGAGTCCTGCACTGACATTCCACACCCTGCAGCGGCTGCACGGCACCAGGGCCTCCTGCAGGGAAGGGTGGCGGCGGCTCGACGCTCAGAGGGCCACGGGCAGTGCTCTTGGTAACAGTCCTGGCATGAAGGGGTCTGAAAGAGCCAGGGCCAAGCCAAGTGCCTTGTCCTTACCTCACTCTTACCTTGGGGACACGAAGTTTGTACAAGGACGTTTCTCCAGTGAGGTGCACCTCACCGACCGAGTACCCGAGTTCCCGCACTGCCCCCCACCCAGCCTTAGCCAGTTGGCCAGAGCACTGGAGCTGCAGCTCCCAGACAGGGGCCTCTGAGTCAGTGACGGTGACAGTGTCACATCTTAGCCCAGTTAACTTTTAAAATACTGGTGTCGGCAAGGAATTGAGGAAGGGTTTTCCTTAGTCACCGTTAGAAGAGTTTTGGTTGGGGGCTACTTTCCCTGAGGGGTTGACTTGCCCTCCTCAGCAGAGGGCTCAAGCTCTCTGAGCTAGGGACGCACAGATGAAGTCTCGCCCAGACAGTGACAGTGCGAATGTGGCTTACGGGACCCCCTCGTCACTCTAGAAAGTTCTTTCTCTGGAGCCGACACAAGGCAGAAGACCACACCCACGTGGTACTGGCTTTGCTTGTGCTCCTGTCGCAGTCTCCTGGGAGAGTAGGGATCAAGTTCAGAATCTTCCCTCTTTTCTGGAACTTAAATGGCTGAATTTCCCCTTTTTTCCTGCTTGCTATCCTGTTGTGTTGAAAAGGGATTCTAAACAGAGACTAATTTCAGGCCCCCTGGCCCCGCCCGCCCCGTTGCCTGTTCAGTTTCGTGCCAAGGACTGAGTAACCGCCCAGCATCGGATCCTACCGGTGTGCAGGGCAGAGCAGACCTACGCTGGGTGTGCTCTGCTCCCCAGGACCTCACAGAAGTCGAGGCAGTCATCTGAATGCGGCACCTATGGTCACGAGTGTGTGTGTGTGTGTGTGTGTGTGTGTGTGTGTGTGTATCTGTGTCTGGGCGAGTGTGTGCACAGGTGCTTGGCAGGCGTGGTGGCCCCGTTCTCACAGTCACTTTGATCGTGTACAGTTACTTCTGTCGTTGTCATGATTTACCCTCAGTGGTAACATTTTTATCAGATGTGTGAATAAACATGAAGATTGGTACAAGAGAGTCTTTGGACGAGTGGTGGGGAATCCTGTATTCTGGTGCTCGTTTCTTCCTGGTCCCAGGTGAGGAGGGTGCCGGGGCGTGGGCCTGGGGAGCAGCCGGGCTGCCACCAGCAACCACATCCTCTGGACTGAGGGCCCTTTCTAGAGGACCGCTTGGTATCTGGAAGAGGGTCTGTTCCAAGTCTCCGTCCACTGGCTTACACGTGTCCTGCGTGGATACGGCTTTGCTGAAGTGATGCCTGAAATTGCCGCAGTCTTTGTGTGTCACCAAGCAAGCTTTTGATGCTGGGTGCCCAAACCTGTGTTTCCATAAGCCTTGCAGTGTTGTTTGGTTTTGTGCTGTGCAGTTAGGAAGTGGCAGCACTGACTGTCCTCGAGCTGGAGGACCATGGCTGCATCTGAGAGCTTCAGGAACTTTCAGAGCTCGGGCCAACAGCATCTCTCTCTGAGCCAGTTGTGCCACCTGGGGTGAGCCTTTGCTGAGTGTGATCAGACAGAAATACAACATGCTATATAGCATTCCAGAGGTGCAAATTCCCCTCATTTTACATTGAGCTCAAATTAGCACTTAGTGTACCACACTCTGAGCACTCAGTGTACCAGGCTCTGTGCTTCACACTTTTTTTTTTTTTTTTTTTTCTTCTTTTCAGTTTTTTGAAAATAGGGTCTCACTATGTATTGTAGCCTGGTTTTGAAGTTACTGGTGATCTTCCTGCCTCAGCTTCCTGAGTGCTGGGATTACAAACCCATATCACCACACTGACTATTTACACTTTGATCAATCAAATCGTACAGCTCTGTGAGGGCACAGCAAGTCTCGTGTAGATGAGGAAGTGGAAGCCGAGGTTAGGTAATTTTCTTGCTCAGAGGCACACAGGAAGTGATGTGAGCCGGGGTGCTGACCTGGCTTTGACCTCTGAAGACACCTGCGGCAAAGGTTAGCTAAAGTTAGTTGCTAAAGTTTAGCTGCGGCAAGCTAAAGTTAGTTGCTCATAAACAGGGCTGGGTTCTGTCCCCCTGGCCGGCAGCTTGTTTGGAAGCTTGGGCCGCAGCTGGAGTGGGAGGCTCACAGGCCTCCTGCACAGCGTCTCAGCACTGCTGCCCCACGAGTTGAGGTGCCAGTGTTTTCTCCTGAGAATTGCAGGACGTATACACTTTGGTGACACACGGTGTGACAGAAGGGGATGGGAGGGTGCACTGAGATATCTTGAAATAACATTTTCTAAAACTAGTTAATTTCAAAACCAGCCAGTCTCTGGAGAACACAGCATGACAGAAGCCTGAAAATTCTCAGAATGAAACCGCTCTTCATAAAATTGGAGCGCTGATTTCTAATGAAAACGTTTAAAAGCCTCAAAACTGTTGCGGACGGAGCATCAAACAACCCCAGGCTGTAGTCACAGCTGTCACTTCACGGCGGACTGTGGCCACAGCTTTCATAACAAATAAATGACCCAAGTTTACCGCCTGCTTCTAGTGAGTCTCTCCACACTTAGGAGTGGTTAGTGCTCCTTGAGTGTTTCCACAGTTGATGGGAGTTGGGTTTCTGTGGTGCCCCAAGGGATAAAAACCAGAACTCTGTAAGGATGAGTTGCCTCCATGGGGCTCCTGCTCCTGCTTGCCTGTAACAAATGTCCACCCAGGCCTCCAGGGGCAGGACTCCAGCACGCTGTGTTCTAAAAGTTCCCAGTGACCCAAATCTGCCATATTCAGGAAGCACTGGGGAAGTGCTCAGTCTTGGCACGAGGCAGTGGACCTGTGTCCTCTTCCTCTCTTGTGAAAGGAATATGAGTGTTTATCTGGTACGGTTGCTGTGGAAATATTGTACAGTCAATCTTTTATTTATTTTTTTGGTACCAAGGATGGAACTCATGACCTTGCGATTGCCACTGAGCTAAATCCTGGGACCTTGTACCATTGGCCTTGAACAACTTCAGATTAGGGGCACTGGCCACTCTGCAGTTGAAAACCCACATGGAACTTGACTCCCCTAAAACTTAATAACCTGTGGTAGACCAGAAGCCCTATGGATAGCAGCACTGATGAACACCGAGTTTGTACATGCAACACAGATGGTGAAAACCCACAAGAACTACAAGAAGTCGCTCTTCTGCGGTACACCCTTTCCTGGAGAGACCCTGCTCACTAGAGACCAGAGTCCCAGGGCGTTTCAGGCAGATACAACCCCGGGGTTGCCTGCATGGCAACAGCAGGTGGCAGCAGAGTCACGACTTGAGTTTTTGCAGCTGCAATTAAATACTACGTTGTCCCTTTTGCTTTGTTACATTTCTGTTCACTGTGCAGTGTTGCATGTGTACTGCGTGCATGGAGGTTTTGATAAATTTTAACTTTATAACTTGTGTATCTTACAGCGGTAAATATGATATATTAGTTACTTTTTACTCTTGCTGATACAAAATACCTGATGCCCAAAGTTGGGAAAGGAAAGGTTTGTTTCTTACCGTTTTTGGAGATTTCAGTCCATACTCAGTTGGCTCCAAGGCAAGGTGGCGTGGCAGGGCCGCAGTTCAGGGCTGCTGCAAACTGCAAGCAGAAACCAGCAAGCAAGAGAGAGACACCTTCTTCCTGCCATTACATTGTCTGCTGGCTCCACCCCTACGTGGGTGTAGTACTGACACCATCAATCCAAGCACTAGACAATGAACCAATCACAAATGCATGTGCAAATGCATGTGGCCTGGGGGCTACCAACATAAACCATGACATATGACTATATATTTTTATACATTCATAATATCTCTCAGTTTTCAGTGTTCCTGGGCCACGGATTTCATCTGTGGGTAATTCAAATTGTCCCTAGTTCTAACACACAGCCATGCAACACGTGCAGACCTGTACAGCCTAGATGCATACGCAGGGGCCCGGGGTGCTAAACCGGTACTGAGACGGGAGTACTCAAGACAGTGTCTCTGTCTTCTCTTGTTGGTGTGTCTGGGTGGGAACAGTGTGACGCTGTCCTTCCACAAAGGTGGACTCTCTGTCCCCTGGGAAGAGGGACAGCTGTGCTCTCAATGTCCCTGGGATATGCACACCATCTGGGTCTCTCTTTGGTCCAGAGACCACCTCCAGCCATTGGGCAATGGAGTTTCTATTTTGAGCAGCTGTGTGCTCAGTTAAGATTCGAGGTAATTTTGGTGGAAGGAAGGGGACAGTAGGAATGGGGACAACTGGCGGGCTTTGCCAAGTAACAGAAGTTTCACTTCAAAAGATTAATGGTTTCAGTTGTAAGCAGCAAAGATGCCACCAGTGTCAGCAAATCACCTAGTAGATATTCTAGCATCTTCAGCTGGGGGTGATGGTGTAATCCTGTAATCCCAGCATTTGGGAAGCCGAGGCAGGAGGATCCTGTAAGTTTGAGACCAGCCTGGGCTACAAAGTGAGCTCAAGTCCAGCCTGGTGAGACTGTCTTGAAAAGATAAAAAATAAAAACCTAGAATCTTACTCGGCGCCCAAATCAAGCCAGTTGCTATGCAATTCTGGGTTCACCCCATCTTTGAGAGCCCTAAGAGCCCTGATCCATGGCTGCCTTCTGTTCCTCAGGACCAAGCCTTGCGTGGGAGTTGGACTCTCAGGCCTCTTCATTTTTGCCTTGTTTCTGGCTCCCCTTTGTGTGTCACTCGTGTTTGTATCTGTTTCTCCTTTGTCCTGCTTCTGCTTTTTGAACATCACCTGCCCCATGTTTCTCTCGCTTGCTTTGACCACTCTTTCTCAGGGCACACACATCATTAGCACAGTGCCCATATGCTCTCGGTTCCCATCTGGAGCAGCTGTGGCTGCTGGGGGCACCTGGGGTGCAGTTCCACAGCTGGAGCTCAGGACTCATCTGAAAAGTAGGAGTGATGTGGGAGCACAGAGCACAAATATTTGGGACTTCATGGTTTAATGTCCTCTGTTAAAATGTCACCATCTTCCCTTCCCATCAGAAGAGACAGATGTGGCAAAGTGTGCAGAAGCTTTGGGATAGGTTGGGGTGCTCTGAAACCCATCTTGGCAGAGAGCAGCTTTGATCGGTCTCAGCTTCCCCAGCTCCCTAGCAAAAGATACATTTATGGTTCAAATGCTTCAAGAAACGGGCCAGAATCATGAGCCAGACCTTGATGGCTAGTTCAGGGTTAGCTTTGCTGTAAGTCAATAAAATACATGGGAGTCCAGTGTCGTGGGGCCTGGGGTGATGGTGTAGTTGGGGGGCATCTGCTTGGCCATGTTTCCCGTTACCTCCCCGAAGCTCATCAGTGAGCGCCTGGATGGCCAGATGGGCTTTCCCCTGGACTGGGGGCCGTTCAGCATGTGGGTACCAGTGTGTGTTTCAGGTTGCGTCTCTAACGGGGATTGCAGGTGCTATTTGAACAAGTGCTGTTCTAACGGGAGTTACTGCAGCATTGAGGGCTCCAGTTCTCATCTATGAGGTTCTGAGGCTTAGGCTTTGCCTGCGTCACACAGTGCTTCCCTGGTCTACCTGGGTCCAGCACCTTGATCCTCTGGGATCCAATCTGTTTTCTGTTCCACTGCAATTTCTCGACATCTTTGAAGTTCACAATGTGCGTCCTGAAAAATGCTTCTAATTACTCTAAAGGCCTCCTGAGAGGTGTGTTAGGTACTAATTAGCTGCTGCTGACAAAGCACTAGAGACCGAGGGGCTTAAATGGCAGAAATTTGCCATTTCCCATGCAGCATGGAGGACAGAGTTCTGAGATCAAAGAGTGGGACCTGGTGGTTTACTCGGAGGACAGAGAAGAATATTCCAGGCTCCTCTCCAGCTTCTCCTGGTTGTTGGCAGTATTTGGTAAGCTTTGGCTCCAGAAGCGTTATCTGGTCTCTGCTTTTATGGCCCCTGTGTATGTGTCTTGTCCAAATTCAGCTTTTTATATGGACATGAGTCTTCCAGGATGACTGTCTTATTTCGTTTTTTTGTCTTTTTTGAGACAGGGTCTCGCTATGCACTTCAGGCTGGCCTTGAGCTTACTTTGTAGCCCAAG